TCCCTTTTTTTCGTTCGCTCCTTTACAAATTATTCCCATATCTACCTTCTGCTTCTTTACCAACAGTCTTTGAATAATTCAAGTTTAGGTGTTGTTAGCTTGAATCATGATTTACTTACTGCATATATCTCGGGTTTTGTAGGCTGGGAGATGTTTTATCCTCGTTGACGTCAAAGAAAGATACCATTCCTTACGAGAACTCATTTCTTACAAGAATACTTGCAGATTCACTAGGTAAATGCTCTGTTTTTCAGTGCATGTGCCTCTACGTTCACCTCTACATATATTTTCTGTGTTGAGGATTTTTCCCTAGTGTTTGAAGTTCTCTTCATATAAGAATAATGTCCTGTAATGTGTAGGGGGGAGCTCCAAAACATTGATGATCGTCAACATTTGTCCAAGTGCACGGAACTTATCTGAGATTATGTCATGTCTCAATTATGCCGCTAGAGCTCGTAATACTGTACCAAGCCTTGGGAATCGAGACACAATTAAGAAATGGAGAGACGTGGTAAGTGGAAATAGAGAGGTATTAAAGAAAGAGAGGGAAATGCAGCGTAGTTTGAAAATATGCAGTGTAAATATCCTTTTTCCTACAGGCAAATGATGCTCGGAAGGAGGTATTGGAGAAAGAGAGGGAAACTCAGCGTCTAAAACAAGAGGTTACGAGTTTAAAGCAAGCACTTAAAGAAGCAAATGATCAATGTGTATTGCTCTACAATGAAGTACAGAGAGCGTGGAGAGTTTCATTCACATTGCAATCAGATCTAAAGGTTCTTCAGTGCTGACTGGGATAGTGTCTGGTTATTTCAGTTATTCCTTGTAAGATTCCTTTCTGCTAATGATTTACTTTTATTTTTGTTTCATGCAGTCAGAGAATTCTATGGTTGCAGACAAACATAAAATAGAAATGGAGCAGAATTCTCAGCTAAGAAATCAAATAGCTCAAGCTTTACAGTCTGAACAGGAACAAAAGTTGCAGGTGCAACAACAAGATTCCACCATTCAAAATCTTCAGGTTAGTGATTCATTAGTATCTACTTTCTAAAAACTTCTGCACATGTCTCCTTGGTATAAGCATCTAAATAATAGGAAATTGATTGCGAAATGGCTTTCAAGTAGCCTTCTCTGAACATGATAGCCATGACATTCGCCTTTTCCTTTTTGTAAATATTATGCAGTCTAAAGTTAAAGAGTTAGAAACACAACTAAGTGAAGCCCTTAAGTCTGACATGACAAGATTGAGAGATCCCTCGGAATCTCAGCCCGTAAGAGCTGTTAACACAGTTGATTCTTCTGCCGTTACCAAGAAACTTGAGGAAGAACTGAAAAAACGTGATACTCTGATTGAGGTTCTGCGTTGACTTCCTGTTGAGCACAGTTTTATTAGTGACTTTTCCATTTTTCGAATTACCCAAATTATATTTGGACGTGAACATTTGTCTGAAGAGAGTAATTGCTTTCTGCAGAGGTTGCATGAAGAAAACGAAAAATTGTTTGACAGATTAACAGAAAAGTCAAATGCTGGTTCGACTCAGGTGATAATTTTCTCTATCCTACACCGAGCATGATTTAGTATCGCATCATGGACACTTCTCTTTTCGCAGCAGTTGAAAAAAATCATTCTATCTCTTCTCATATTAAATGTTGTATATAGGTATCCATTTGCCATACACAGGGAGGTTTACCTGCTCCAGCTAGCCATTTGCTTAAGCTTTCTTATTCTTGGTTGTATGTAGGTATCGACCCCCTCATCAAAAGCTTCACCAACAGTTTACCCTGCAGATGTTGAAAGGTAGTTATTTGATCACTTTGGAGCATTTAATCTGAAATTCTGTCTTCTCTATTTTTTTTTACCTTCCTTACCACCTGATCTGTAATATTTTTCTTCAGGAAAAATAGTGTGGGTGCTTTAGCATCTTCAGCGGCGGATAAGAGCGAGGGCGCAATTACAGTAGTAAAATCCAGCTCTGAAATAGCAAAAACCACTCCAGCTGGAGAATACTTGACAGCTGCATTGAATGATTTTGATCCCGAACAATATGAAGGTCTTGCAGCCATTGCTGATGGCGCAAACAAGCTCCTCATGCTGGTACTGCCACTGGGTTAATAGTTCGATTTTGAGTATCCTTTTAGACTTTTCAGGGATGCAAATAACTGAATTATTTGAAGATAAGATAAATACTACAGTAAAATCTGTTTCTTACTAAACATGTATGGGTGTCTGAGATAAATCTTCAAATATTTGTAAGTTTGTATGTTAAGAACTCTTATTGTTTACTTGCAGGTTTTGGCAGCTGTCATAAAGGCTGGTGCTTCCAGAGAGCATGAAATCCTTGCCGAGATCAGAGATTCCGTCTTTTCGTTTATCCGGAAAATGGAGCCACGAAGAGTAATGGATACAATGCTTGTTTCTCGAGTCAGGATATTGTACATAAGGTCTTTACTTGCACGATCACCTGAGCTTCAGTCAATCAAGGTGTGAATAACCAAATTTTATTGCTAACTTTGCTTTTAGCTTTTGCCTCTTGTGTGCGTGACTAAGTTTTCTCCAAGCAAGATTAATCTCACCTCACCCATTTCTTGTAGGTTTCTCCTGTGGAACGCTTTTTAGAGAAGCCTTATACTAGTCGAACTAGAAGCTCTAGCGGGAGTAGCAGCCCGGGTAGATCGCCAGTTCGATATTATGACGAGCAGATTCATGGCTTTACAGTAAATTTAAAGCCAGAGAAGAAAAGTAAGTTAGTATCAGTCGTTTCAAGAATCCGTGGACATGACCAGGTAAGATATCTGTGATTCCTAGAGATGCTTGATTTTTACCTAACTTAGAATCCGAGATACAAACATTCATGCTTGTCTTGTTTGTAAATTGTCTTAGGATACTGGGAGGCAGCAAGTGACTGGAGGAAAGCTGAGGGAGATACAAGATGAAGCCAAAAGTTTTGCCATTGGAAACAAACCTTTAGCCGCTTTATTTGTTCACACTCCGGCTGGTGAACTGCAAAGACAGATTAGGTCATGGCTTGCAGAAAATTTTGAGTTTCTTTCTGTTACAGTAGACGATGCTTTGGGAGGAACCACCGGCCAATTAGAGCTTCTTTCCACGGCAATTATGGATGGCTGGATGGCTGGAGTAGGAGCTGCGGTGCCGCCTCACACAGACGCTTTGGGACAGCTTTTATCTGAGTATGCAAAACGAGTCTACACTTCTCAGATGCAGCATTTAAAGGTATATACACAATGTCAAATGTCTTACTCGCTGAAGAACTTGTTTGCCATGTGAGGTCTAATATGGGGATGTTTTATTAGGATATTGCTGGTACTCTGGCTTCGGAAGAGGCAGAAGATGCTGGTCAAGTAGCAAAGCTTCGATCAGCTCTTGAGTCAGTTGACCACAAAAGAAGAAAGGTAACCCCCAAAAAAGAAACTTAAGTTGTCATGTTATTATACTCTCATTATCTCTTTAAGTGTTTTTTTTTTTTCTCGTGTGCTTTAATTTCCATTTTCTTTGTATATCAGATTTTGCAACAAATGAGAAATGATGCAGCTTTGTTTACCTTGGAAGAAGGCAGTTCTCCTGTTCAGAATCCTTCTACAGCAGCCGAAGACTCAAGATTAGCTTCTCTCATTTCTCTAGATGCCATACTGAAGCAAGTCAAGGTATTTATGACTCGTATCATACAAAACCATCATGAGTCTTTCTCGATCTTGGAAGGTTATGATTAACTACGAGAAGAACAGCGGTTGATAAAAAAACTGTTTGCTTCTTGTAGGAAATAACAAGACAAGCGTCTGTCCACGTTTTGAGTAAAAGCAAGAAGAAAGCATTGCTTGAGTCTCTTGAAGAACTTAACGAACGAATGCCTTCCCTTCTTGATGTTGATCAGCCGTGTGCACGGAGAGAAATTGCTACGGCTCACCAGTTGGTCGAGGTAAGTGATGAATAAAAACCTGATGATCCAAAATCTTGAGAGATTCAATATTTAACTTGTTACTTGCTGGTTTTAAATTGGGATGCAGACAATCCCAGAACAAGACGACAATCTTCAAGACGAACAGAGATCTTCATTAGATTCAATATCCTCAACCGAAACCGATGTGTCTCAATGGAACGTTCTGCAGTTCAACACGGGAGGCTCTTCAGCTCCATTCATCATAAAATGCGGAGCTAACTCCAACTCAGAGCTCGTGATCAAAGCGGATGCCCGAATTCAAGAACCAAAAGGAGGCGAAATCGTGAGAGTTGTGCCAAGACCTTCGGTTCTAGAAAACATGAGCTTAGAGGAAATGAAACAAGTGTTTGGTCAGTTGCCTGAAGCACTAAGTTCGTTGGCCTTAGCAAGAACAGCTGATGGCACACGAGCTCGATACTCTAGACTCTATAGAACTCTAGCCATGAAGGTACCCTCGCTTAGGGACCTCGTTGGAGAGCTAGAGAAAGGAGGAGTCTTAAAAGATACCAAATCGACATGAAGGAAAAGAAAAGTTTCATCATTTTGTGTAAGTATTCTTTTTTATACTTTTGGATTTCCCCTGTAGTTTGTGTGTACTCTATTTTTTTTGCAGCTATTTCTTTAGTAAGGTCAATAGGAATCGATGAAGAAGATTCGGTTCTATCTTCTGTGCTCTGTTTTTTTAGTTTCCATTGTTTCTTCCTTTGTATGCATGCTTTGTGTGTATTTCTTTCTCTGTTCCTAGGCTAAGACTCCGATCTATCTATATATATATCCTACATTTTTTCATACCTAAGCATAATGACATTAATCACAAAGATTTAGAAGAGAGACAAAATATATATCATTTTGTATTCATGTCAAAATTAGATATAACTCAAGTTTGTATCAAAGTCACAAGAATGGTACAAAATATGTTAATATTCTGTTTGATAACGAAAAAGAACTTTAAAACAAAAATGATCTATACACGCAGCTCGATTTGACTGGATGCAAAACAAAATGATATCTAAAAAAATGTACATTTTTCCAAGTAAAAAAATGGACTTAATAAAACGTTTGAGTAGATGAATCATTACGACGATCCCGGTTCCAAACCGGTTCAACTCCACCAAACAAGTAATCTGATAAGTTCTCAATACCTGACGAGTCTTTTGTGCTACATGAGCTTGTTGTGTCCGATGAGCTAAACAGGGACGATAAACTTCCACTCGACGAATCCACGCGTGGCAACAAAATGCTACTACCGTCTCTCTGTTTCTTATTGTTGTCGTGCCTTGACGGAATTGCAGCCAAATTTCTTCTTTCCTTTGGTTTCCGACCACCGTTCTTGTTTACCGGTCTCGGAGAATCTCTGTCAAAGAAGAGGATTTTCTCGGATATTAATAGAATAAACGTGATTGGGTTATTGACTAATGTCCAATCACTCACCTTGCATAGAGAAGCATGTATGCTCCCTCTTGTAATACAGTCTCTAACTGAACCGGGAAAACCTGCAAACTCGGAATCAAAATCAAGAATCGAGAAAAAGAAATATAGCATCACTGTCTAACTATACTAATGTTATTGAGACCTACATTGCTGTCATCAATCCTGAACCAATCTCCATGAAGGGTTTTTATGTAGCAAACATAATGACCTGAAAATGAAGTGCTCATGGCATCTAAATGGACCACCACTGCGTAGAGACTATACACGGTCCCGTGATTTGGTTTACTCATATATGGGCTAATATCAAGAAGCTCGGGAAAATGGATGGGTTTGCTCAGCTTCCCAAAGTTATCAGACTGCATGAAGAACAAATTATTCTCTTGAATAAACCCAACAAAAAGAAAGACGCCATCAAACTTAAAAGAAGACGAAGACTCTCACCTGAAAACGTTTCAACACAACAGTAAGAATGTTGGGTCCTTCCAGTATCATCAATTTCTTTTTGGCTTTCTGGTAAGATTTACATCTGCGGTTGTAAAACGAAAAACGTAGGTAAAGCTTGGAATTAGTTGTTTTGGTTTCCAAAAGACAAATTCAAATACCTGCCACAAAAGTATCGGTTCTCTCCATCAAGGACTTCGTAGGCTGTAAATTGAGTAAGTGCTTCTTGAAGGCTTCCTATATCCCCATCAATCTCGACGGTTAGATCCATCATCAGCTCGGATTGCTCAGATTTGCGGAGGCATTTCATGCATTTAATCTGTGTATTATTAACCATAAAACCTCAATTATTGGGATTAAAGTAACAAAGAATGGTCCAAATGTAACTAACGCCAAAATACAATTACTAATAATATATAACCTTGGAGTGAAGATATCCACCAAACGTAATGCCAACTAAAGTAGTTTCTTCTGCAAACGGACCCGTTGCATCAGCCTCTTTGAGAAAAACAGATTGCATTGTATCAACAGCACACCTGACATTCTTATGAATGAACGATGTAATTCACCTTTGTCGAAATATTGAATAAAGATAAAGGAAAGAAAGCTACTAGAAGCATAACTCATATGATTCACCTTAAAAATTCGTGAGCGTCTTCTTCCTTTCCAGGGCCAAGATGCTTCCCAATCTTTTGTAATTTCGATAAGATCTTGATAGGTGACAGAGGAGATTCTCCTCCCCTTGCCTTTAAAATTAAGTATTCAAACTCACAAACAAAACACCAACTCTTCTTTCGACCTGAAAATCCAACTACCAAGATAAGATTCCACATAGTTTACACAATAAGAGCAGTAAAAAATGATCCTCGGGGTACAAACTTACATGCTTTAGAATGTAATCCCCTAATTAGGTAAGACATTAGTGGCCGAGTGAACGCCAAGCACTGGAGAACAGCATTTGCATAACAACTACAAAAGTAATAATATAAGTGATAAGCACAAATACATTTTAGATGGACTTAACTAACAAAAGATGCATCGCTTATTAGATCATCATGCTTATAAACAGGAAATTTATAGATAGATCGATATGTACCTGTTTCCCAAGTTTACAAGGCCAAATGGCTGTAATTCTACTCTATCAGAATATAGTCTCATAAACAACTCGTAAGAGAAGCTCATCTGTACAAAAAACGGGAACATCAATATGGGATAATAGCAGTACATATAATCATGGTACAAAATTTTTTTAACTTGCAATCATATTTTCTAGTAACCTCATCGATAGAACCAGCAGGTTGAGATAATTTTGACGACATTGGGGGTCTAAAATGCTGAACAAGTTTTTGCACTGATGTTTTCAATCCACTACTTGAAGCTTGCGACACTTTCGGCTTACTATTAGCTTTTGAAGGTAGGAGAGTAGTTGAAGAACCAGATGTAGTTCTTGAGTGTCCAAGTGCATTCATTTCTCCTTGATTATCAACTGACAAAAATTGATCCGGAATTAACATTTCAGCCGAATCACCTGACCCACGTGAATTTTGATTGCCATTTCTTTCCGGCTTTGCCTCAGCAAGTACAGCAGTCTTGCCTTTGGAATACTTTCTCGCCGATTCAAGCTTCTCTGTCCGATTATGTGATTTCCTCCTACTTACTGGTCTGGTCTCATAGAAATTATCCTTTTTGTTTAAAGAACTAGTGTAATCCACAGCTTCAGATCTAGCTTCCACCTTTTGAATACTTATAGATATATCACAAGCAACATCGACAGACACACCGTTATTCAATCCGTCATTATTTTCATGTAACTCATCCGATGATGTCCACCGAGATGGATCTGATCCCTTTGCATCTGCAGAGAGAGCTTCAAGTCATCAAAAACCAAACACCAAATGTCAATCTATTGAAACAAAATGCCAAAGCTTTACCATCAGATTTAACAGACTTCTCCTTTTCTCCATCGTAATCAGTAAGAGAAGGCGATCGACATTCGTCCTTGTGACCTCGTCGCCAATGAAGAATCTGACACTTGCTAGAACTACAGAAACACCAAACAAGTAAAAAGAACAATCTTTTCTGAAAAAAAAAAATTCTGATCGGATTCTAAAAGCGAACCAGTAACGAACGGATTTGCACTGAGCGCAACGAGTAGTGGTAGGGTAAAGACAAACAGCGCAACGATGAACAACAAAATCCGAACCGGAGGAGGAGGAGACATGATCAACATTGGCTCGAACCTCGGCAACATAAGATTCCTCAGAGGCTAAAGCCACAAGACGAATAACTTCATCTCTCCTAACAGAGGCAGATCTCCATTGGCGACGAATCAGAAGAAAAACCAACATGATAAACCCGATCAAGAAGAAACGAAACCCAAAAAAGGTTCCATTTTCAGGAGACAAAGGCATTTAAAATCGAAAACCCTAGGAAGAAGCTCTGATCAACATTGCA